ATTGGAACACAGCGATACCCATTCTTTTTCATATTGTCATTCTTTTTCATATTGGCTGCTCTTAAGCTACAAAGGCAATACTCACTAGTTGCCACAAATACTATCTGTCCCACAATGCTCAAAGATATTCTACCTGGCCTTTTAAAAATTACTGATCTCTATTCTAGAATTTTTGTGAACTGTGAACTATTTGTTTCATGATGTTAACAAAGACATAATCACACAGATTCTCTGCAAGGATGACATAATTTTTAAAAGCAAATAAACATACTGAAATGCTAAATGAAACTAGTTCCCTTGCAAGCTCCAGGAAATACAGTCATATCTCATAGCTGAGGGAGCTTTTGTCTTTTATTTCGGTATTTAGTTTTGTTTTGTATTTAGGTATGCTTCTAATGTTTATTATTTGATTTCTTATCTCCATTGTTTCTTATATGGAAAGCAAGGATTTGGAAAGAGCAGTCTACCAACTTCTAAGGAGAGTTGGCATCTTAAAGAAAGCATCTTAATTGGTGAGTGTCTCTTAGAAAAGAATAAAAAACTGTCTAGTACACTAAGTAAGTAACTAAATACTAACAAACTAATCACCTACTCTGGGTTAGATTCTGTAAGACAATCTGAGACCAACTGACTTTTTATTGCTATAGGAATATCCTTGCACTGTATTACCCCACCACATTTGGAGGGAAATTCCCATACTTCTCTTTGAATAACAAAACAAAACAAAAAAAAACTTTGTAAAGAATTTTATAGACTATGGCATGGTACTAGACTAGGCAAACATAGAGGGTGATGAAAGGTCCGTTAACAGCAGCCTACATTGAGGATTACAGAAACATCTTCCCCAAAGGATGATAATGAACAGACCCAATGGATGAGACCTTTACCAGTGGAAGTCTGATGTAATAAGGAGTAGATTTCAGCATCCAGGAACTGTGCATAATTTGATGTGCAAATAAACATTTCCCTTCCTATCTTCTGATAATGTTTAAGTGCTATTTATTTAAGTTTTTCTTTTGAGGAAGAGATATCCATTGATAGCAGAACAAATAATGAGCCAAATATACTGAGACTTGCTAGCAGCCAGTCTGACTGGATGGGTAACCATTCTGATATGTACCTTGTGTGTACGTGTTGGAAGGAGGTGTAGTAAACACTTAAATATCACCTCTGACTGTTACTAACCTGAAATACTCTTTGAATTCTTCCACCACCCACGCCTCTCTCTTTCCCTTGAGACACTTCCGGTTTTAGTCTGATTATAGAAGATAGAATCCATTGTCAATAATACACTTTGATTAGTTAATAGGTTGTTTAAATTGCAGTAAGAACTGAATTGCTCATATACTTGTACAAATTGTCACTGTGTGTATACAGTTATCTAATGTATTCTGCAATTTTTCCTTGTGAAATTAACAGGGCCTGGGGGAAAATTCAGTTATTAAACTTGAATTTGCATCTGAGACCTACAGGACACTACAGAATCTCAATTTATACATGAAGTTAACAAGGTACAGAGTTTATGCATTAAATTCCCTTTCTGTTTCTGCCATCTCTGTTATATTACTTTAATATGGACATAGTAATAGATATATAACAAAAGTGCTATGTACATCAATACAGCTCTGAGACCAATCTCTTTGTGTAGTTTTATCAAATTTAAATGACATACTTAAAAAGAGTGTCTTCTGAGTATCCTACCAGATATATAAGGCACTATATTTAAAAAAAAAAAAAAAAAAAGAGCCACCATGAAAGAATCTGTTCAGGGGTATTCTTCAAGTGCACTCTACATGCATAACATGAGGCTGAAGAAGCTCTCAGAAAACTCAGTTTTTTCTGCAAGAAGCATCTTGAATTTTAAACCTTCTAAATGTTGTTTTCAGGAATAGTAGCTCTCAGGGGCAACTTAATCAGCCCTTTTACCTAAAATATATAAGATAATTTGACCTCTAGAATCTGAGAACTTTGAAAACTGCACTAGTTTGCATGAATTTCCCAGAAACAAAATTTCTTCATTGTCAAAAATGTTCAATTATAAAAATATATCCGTCTCCTACACCTATTTAAAATCCTGCATATACATCATATTTATATTTTTTATCAAAATAGCAAAAGGGCAGAATAAATTCTATCCCACCCAACTATATCATGGGACACATACTCTCGGTGTTTGCAGTTTCCTGGGAGCTAGACACTGAGAAGCATAACAACTGCACAGAAAAAGAAAAGTGGCATTTAGTGCTTTCCTTCTGGGAAAGACAATGAAAAGCTCTAGAAGCACTCCCATGTGGCAGAGACTGAAATGTAGAATCTACAGAACACATCTGAAAATGCTTTTTGCACTATGTAGGCTTATACATACTGCATCTAACACTAAATAGAATGTCATTTTTCTATTTTACATTTAGTGTGGGCAAGAGAGCATGAGTGGACCACACCCAGTGGTACTACAAGATGCACTGGCTGCCTTGATTGTTAACTTGACACTCAGCTGCCTAAGATACCATCAGGGAATCACATAGGCACCAAGCACTGTAATTGTCATTTTTACTGACAACTGAGTTGATGTACTATTATATTCCTAAGTAGCATTGACAAAAACATTGAATTATTTGTAATAAGAACACAATTTTAATTTAAATTATTTTTTAAAATTTTAACAAAATTGAAATGAGCTTTTTAAAACTGTATATTTTCAGTATTTCTATGTTTGTCTGGTAAACTATTTATAAGTGAGATCATCAAATGAGATTATTAATTTAAACCATCTTTTCAATGGAAAAGCACTTTAAAGCTATAAGATGCTTTAAGTCACTTAAAAAGATACTAGATTTTCTGTGATTATATGGCTTGTCCTACTGTACAATTATTGACATATTTAATATGTTTGATGGTCTCAACATATGATCTAAATGGTAAGCTTATTGTGGCATCCTGTTGGATTATTAAGTCATGGGGTGGTGAGGGGAACGCTCTATATTTTGGGAAGAGGCTGGTGTCACTGCCTAACAGAGTCATTGAGAAAGCTTAAGAAAATGATTTTTACCAAAGTGTGGACAACTTAAATGAAACCAGCAATAGAAAGTAAAGTTGGCTGGGCATGGTGGCTTACACCTATAATCCCAGCAATTTAGGTGGTTGAGGCGGATGGATCACATGAGGTAAGGAGTTCCAGACCAGGCTGGCCAACGTGGTGAAACCCCATCTCTACTAAAAATACGAAAAAAAAAAAAAAAAAATTAGCCGGCATGGTGGCAGGCACCTGTAATCCCAGCTACTCAGGAGGCTGAGGCAGGAGAATCCCTGGAACCTGCGAGGTGGAGGTTGCAGTGAGCCGAGATCCTGCACTCCAGCCCAGGCAGTAAGAGCAAAACTCTGTCTCAAAAAAAAAGGAAAGAAAGAAAAATAGAAAGAGAGAGAGGAAGGAAGGAAGGAAGGAGGGAAGGAAGGAAGGAAGGAAGGAGGGAAGGAAGGAAGGAAGGAAGGAAGGAAGGAAGGAAGGAAGGAAAGAAAAAGTCAAGTCTTCCCCAGATAATAATGGGGAGTTATTGCCACACCAGGATTGATGGGCAAGGGGAGGAAACAAGTATTAGACCCCAGGGAGTCACAGATAGCTTTAAAGAGAATTGTATCTCTTGCCAGCCCATGGCTTGGCAGGGAAGGTGCTATGGAAACAAAACCCCGACCTCCCTCAACTTCTACCCTCTAATCTTTTGTCTATACCCATTGGTTGACACAATCTCAGTTCAGAGGACAAGAGATCCTAATAATGAAATTCAAAAATGTCAGCTTCTGGAGGCACAGAGTAGGGTTGATCTGGCAGGTTAAATAAAGAATATTAAAAATAGAAGTTAATAATTCAGAATTAAGTAAATTTCTGAAGTAAACTTCTACTGTTTTAAATATGAAAGCACGTGTTTTTTTAAAGTAAATTTGATATCAATAAAGTTCATTCATTCACATATTCAGCAGAGCTTGAGTGAATACTTACTATATACTCTGTGCTAAGTGCTTAGTAAAATTATTTGATATGATTTGTCTCTTCAGGGGTTTTTATAGTTTTGTTTAAAATATAGATGTGAAAAATCAACTAATACAGCCATACTGTAAGAGGAAATTAAAAAGAAGGAAGAAGAAGAAACTAAAAGATGGCTTCTAGGTCAAAAAAAAAAAAAACACATGCCAAATGTTAAGGAAGAACAGGAATGAGACAAGTGGACAATGCGAGAATAGGAGAAATGACCTTGTAGGTAAAGTGAGTAGTGCAAAGACATGGGAGCTCAAGGAAGCTTGGTTCGGGAAACTGGAACTTTCTCCGTTTTGCAATAAGGAAGGAAAAACCTAGGGCCAACAAGTCTGGTCTAAATCATTAAGGTACTTTATTTGATAAGTTAGCAGTTGTGTTTTTTTGTTGTTGTTGTTTTTTGTTTTTTTTTTTTTTGGTTTTTTTTTTTGAGACGGAGTTTCACTCTTGTTACCCAGGCTGGAGTGCAATGGCGCAATCTCGGCTCACCGCAACCTCCGCGTCCTGGGTTCAGGCAATTCTCCTGCCTCAGCCTCCTGAGTAGCTGGGATTACAGGCATGTGCCACCATGCCCAGCTGATTTTTTGTATTTTTAGTAGAGATGGGGTTTCACCATGTTGACCAGGATGGTCTCGATCTCTTGACCTCGTGATCCACCCGCCTCGGCCTCCCAAAGTACTGGGATTACAAGCAGTTGTGTTTTATCCTAAAATGGATGAGGAGCCAAGGAGGAATTTTAAGCAAGGGAAAGGCCTAAACAGTTTGGCATTCAAGAGATATAACTCTTACATGTGTGTAGAGGAAATCAAACGGCTTGGAGATAATAGTGTAAAGGATGCATGGGAAGAGTATAAAACTAGAGAGCAATTAAGAGATTATTACAAAATCTGGAAGTGCCAAAGGCTTTATATTAGAGTTATCAGAGAACTAGGACCAATAGGATGCATACATTTATTAAAAGGAATTGGCTCACGTGATTATAGAGGCTGGTGTGTCTCAAGATCTGCAGTCTGCAAGTGGTAGAACAAGAAGAGCTGATGATTTAGTTCCAGTCCAAGTCCAAAGCTCTAAGATTCAGAAGAATCAATGGTATAAGTTCCAGCCTGGAGACCTGGAGGCTAAAAACACAGGATGAGTGGATGTTCCCGTTCAAGTCTAAATCCTGGTAAAAAAAACAATGTCACAGCTAAGAAAGGCAGGAGGAATTCCCAGTTACTTGAAGGTGGGCAAGCTATTTTGTCCTGTTCAGGTTTCCTGCTGATTGAATGGATCTGTCCACATTAGAGAGGACAATCTCTTTCACTCAGTCTACCAACTCAGATACTAACCTCATCCAGAAACACTCTCACAGACACACTCAGAACAATGTTTGAACAAATGTCTGCTCACCTCATGGCCCAATCAAATTGACACATAAAATTAACCATCACATTCTTGATGGGAAGAACACAAAGAATATATGTAATAGAAATTGGAAATCAAATGGCTTGGAGATGATAGTTAAGCCTGATTCCGCAGAGTCTGTCTTGCAGACCTGAGTAAAATGTGATCTTACCACTATGAGACCAACTGAAGGATTAGCAAATACAGGGGAGTTCAGGTTTAAAAAGATTGGGCAATGCGTGTGGGGTAAACCAGCATATGGGAGACAAGGCTGCGCTAACGTAAAGATGAGCTTTATATGGTTATTATAAACATTTAAATGGGCAACTTTTATGTAATCATCTATTATTACAGTCAAATTATAACTACTCCATATGGGTCATATGATTAAATATAAGAGAACTGAGAGCACTAAAGTGATCTACCTTTTCCTTAGAAAAAGAATAGGTAAAAGCAATGGTCCACTTGTATGTGTAGATTCATTATATATTCAGGAGATTAATATATTGATATTGAATAATTTTGTTATATTTCTATTATATTTTTTCTTAGATGTACTTTTTCCATTTTCTGTAACTTTTCATGCAGGTATTTGTAAACAATAGTAACAACATTGTTTATTTTGAAGAAAATAATCAATTTAGATAAATAGCAACTTAATAGAGGGTGATTTAAAACCCCTTTAATAAGTTACCTTTTGTTACTGTGTCTTTGCAGATAGCATTTTCACTACTCTGGACCTGACTACATATAAAATAAAACATGTTTTTAACAAATAATAATTGTATTATTATTAATTATGTATCATTACCTAATTTTTCTTATGTAGAGCTATCTACGTGTGAAGATTTTCTATGTTAACATAACATGGTGAAATGGATAAGTTGAATATCATTTGCAACATCCAAAGGCAAATTAGTTGATATCAGTTGCTTCCTTAATACTTAATTATAAGACATACTATAACTTTAAGGCAACACAGCTGTTTTCAATGTAGCCTCATTTTTCAGCATCCATTCAAGTTCATCCCCTCCATAGAGGCTGCCCTGGTTCCTATAGAAGCTTCCAAACACTCTTGTTTCCAAACTCCTCTAAAGCATGCTCTGTACCAAAAATGTAACATTTTCACTAACTGTTTCATGTGTTTGTTTTAATTTTAACTGTAAAGCCAGATGGTAATCTCCTTGAGGTCAGGGACCTAATATCTCATTTTGAGCTTCTTCGCCCCTAGCACCAATATTGGTTATATATTTTTGTGGCCTACATATTGGTAGATTTATTTATTTCTCCTGAGCCTTACTTAAAAAAAAACTGAAAGGAAATTAGCCTATATTTTATATAAGTTTTTGCAAGATAATTTTTAAATGCAGCATAAAATTAAACCTGTTGAAGATATCACAATGTAATAAAAAAAAAGAAAATAAATAATCTTTAGTCAATAACTTAGGACTTAGATCAAACATCACGTATGGCAATATTCTAAAGAGAACTCATGACGTTTCGCTTCAAATTAAAATTGAAGTACATTTTGTAACTCAAAGATATGTATGTAAAATCACTTAAAAGATAAGCTATATACATAAACCTAACTTCCTTATTAGAGAAAAGTTAAAAACATTTATTTTCAACATAAAATAATAAACCCCCTTACCACACCAAATTTTGTCCTCTTTTTAAAAAACATTCAAATGGGTTTTTGTACAACTCAAAACCACTTTATTCTTTTATTTCTTTTGTAGTTTGTAGGATATTTCTGTGTTTATGTATTTTCATAGACATAGCCATCTATTGGTATTTGTGAAGGATTGGCTACAAAAATGCTTGTGGATACAAAAATCCTCGGATACTCAAGTTCTTTATCTAAAATGGTGTCGGATTTGCATGTAACCTATGCAGATCCTCCTGTTTCTTTAAATCAACTCTAGATTAATTATGATACCTAATGTAATCAAATGCTATGTAAATAGTTGTTATGCTGTATTGTTTAAGGAATAATAACAAGAAAAAACTCTGTATATGTTCAGTACAGACACAATCATTCTTTTTTTTCCTAAATATTTTTGATCCAGGATTGGTTGAATCCATGGACACACTGCACACAGATATGAAGAGACAATTGTATTTATGTTTAAATGTAAAGTATTTATGCCTTCCTAAATTCATCGCAAAGTAAAATTATATGAATTGAATCCACTTTTTAATTTTCCTAAATAGTTAAAACAACAACAACAACAACAACAACAACAGCAACTGTTTGAAAGGACTTAGGTTAAGAATTAAAGAAGACCCCAGGTCCAGCTATCTAGCAGAATGGTTGTCAAGGTATACGTTCAATTTACAGAGTTAAGCTGATGTGTGCATGTAGCAGTTCAGAAACCCTTTCTTTGGAGAATCTAGAAACGGATACTTCCAGCCATATACAGGCATATAAAAATTAGCAGTAAGACTGTGTCCTAAACACAGGAGAAACTTATATTTCAAACTGCTGTGAACTGTTTCCTGTTCTGCAAACTTCTCCAGCTCTATCAGGACTGATATTTTCCTTCTATAGATGTGAATGTCCATCAATGACCTAAACCCTCTTTTGGGTATCCCCAAATTCCACTAAAATTTATGAAAGCAATTATGTTCTCATCTTATTGATATTTAAAGCATAATTTTAGTTTTAAAATGGCTAGAAACTTATCCTTAATTCTTTCTAAAACATTTTATAACCTAGCCCCATATAAAATTTTAGGGCAAAGAAGACTGTTGCTAATACCTAAACTGTTCTTGTTGTTTTTGTTGATTATGAAAACATTATTTTCAAATAGGATACATGATGCATAACAAAATTTAAATACAAATATCTAGATATTTATTAGATACCATACTCCATTCTCACTAATTTTACTTGTTATTAATCATTAATTAATCCAACCCTTGCTGTCTTGCCAAAGTTCAACAGACAAAACTCAAGTTCACCGTCACTGGAAATACCCCATTTATCTTTACAATTTTTCCTTCTTTCTTTTTTTTCCCTTACCTACAGGAGTGATAGAGGAAAAAAAATTTGAATCGCAGTGTGATGCCGCTGGTATGTATAAAAAACCCTTGGCAGTCGTTTTCCCATCAGCAGTTTCCCTGCTGGCCAGCTTCTAAGTCTCTCCCAGTCCCCTTCTCCTCAGGTAGCTGGCTGCTAGATGTTTACTGATTAATTTGCATCAAATATTCTCCTAGCAACCAACACTAGGATAGGATTGATACTTTTGTAAAAGACTGTTTTATGTTAAAGAAGCTCAGACTTCCTAAAACACCACAAACATAAGCTAATAACATTTAAGCACATGTATAATGTGATTCCTTCACATTTTTAAAACTAATTTCAGGCCAATTGATTTTTATTGTTGTATTTATTTGGAGAAAATCAGCAACTTTTTTTTCTATTTTAAAATTAGCATTTGTGAACATATCCTTTTTTTTTTTTTTTTTTTTTTTTTTTT